AAATAAAGGCCTTCAACAAACTGAGATTACTGAAAGCTGGTTTGCTATAAACCTCAGCATCCATTATAAGGTTAAACTTGACAATCTGTTTCACCAAAAGCGATTCCGTGTATTCCATTAGCACGTCCCGATAAATTCGTGAAACGTATTGCGAAAACTGTTAGAGCCTTCTATGGATATCCATACTTATAAAAATCTCTTTGTACATCCTTGATTACCACTAATTATTTACATATAATTGTATTACCCAGCTGATGATTTCTCTATGTTAAACATATATATATATATATATATATATATATATATATATANCCAGCAAGGTTGAAACACCTATACGGTACTTTCCGTTTGTGCTAATTACGTGTTCATGCATCTATATGTGACACAGTTCACATTGTAATTCATTTACTACCTCTTGCGAGTTGCATAGCTTTGAAGAATAACTAAATGATTGCACGACTAATAATACGCCACTGGACTAACAGCCTTTGAATGTACGAAAGAAGATTAGTTTATTGCACGAGATGAATTATCATTATATATATTCACAATTCAAAGGTGCTTGTTGAAATAATTTCCCCATAGTAGATTTCCATCTCAATCACGTTTAACTTAATTTCTTGTTTACAATAAAAACCTAATATGGAGATAAAAGGTCACCTGTAGCACGATATATGGATTAATTCGGAGCTAGAGGTGCAATCCACGGTGCAAATGATTGCAAAAGAACCCAACATACCAGTCATCTTTGGTTGGCATTCCTGATGTCCATCACCTTCGTATCCATCGATGCAGCGGCACTGACCATCGTGACATTGTGCGTACGGATGACACTGAACGTGTGCACATTTGTCTGGTGGAGTACGAATGTTCGAAATGTGCACAGTTAAGTAAGTGTGTATATGAGGAAGCTAAGCACGAACAGAGCAATTCATCGTATATACCTTCATCGTACTTGTCGGTTCAGTTCTGTTTCCGTGAAAGAAATGGACCCGGACAAATTGGAGCATATCAATCCCATGGGAATGGAGTAAAGATGACTTTTATTTATACGACTCACGTCAGCGTGCAGGCTCGGCAGACCATAGTGGAGTGATATTTCCGTGGGCCTGGTTTTTCGTCTGAGCTAAGGCGTTATTACTAAAACGTTAATTTAGACTTGTTGGAAACCAACAATGAAAACCTATGTTTTGGCTTTCAGCAATTCATATTTGTGAGGAAAGAAAAATAAGTTTCAGTTTTCTTAGCGTATCCTCCAAATTGTAGATATTTCATTATAAAAGCAAAACGAATTTGAACTACGTCATGTATCGCTTTGGATTCATCCAGTACATGAAAAGGGTTTAAAAATCAAACGTTGCCGCAATTAGTTGTCCTCTGTGTGTGTAGTTTGATTAAAAATTCACCGTTGATGTCATCTAAGTCGTTAATGAAATAGGTTTCACAAAATGATCAAATAAACTAAAAGTTTGATACAGAAAATATTTTTCCTAGAAGTTTGATTATTGTAAACTTATTAGTAAGTCAAACTCATTTTTGTTTGTGAGTACGTTTATCTACGGTCTAAAATAAATAATTCCCATAGCATCAGATCCAAATTGGGAAAAGATGTTATTGAAGAAATTGTATGTCTCGCCTGCCTTAACCCCCTACAGAAATTCTCCAGCTCCTTATTTCACTAAAATCCTTGTAAACCGACAGCCCGTTTCTCCCGAATAATCTCAGCAACCTTGGAGGTTAAATTTTTTACTTGTATTATTTCCTTCTTTCGGTGAGATGTGTAGTTTTTGACTGAAATGCAGATATCACTGCGCGCAAAAGTCTATACAAATGCAGATACAGTATTTCATTTGCACCTTGACCTAAAAGGTCGCGAATCCGGGTATTTCAATCCAGACCTAATCAGCATTTATCACCTCTCTTAGATGATGGTATTCGAAATGCCTTCTAACACATCCTGAGAGCAGCTTAAACTTCGAGATTTGACCACCCCAATTCTTGGGCATAATCAGTATTACTGCAGTCGTAACTGCGGTCCCGAAGGCATGACTTTGGAAATGAGACATTACCAAACAATGGGTGAATAAGACATGCATGACGACCAACTACTTCAAAGTGCGAACGGTTCTCATACTTTCCCAGATAATTCACATTATATAATCCATCCGAGACAGATAAATTAAATCAATTCAAGCGATTTTGGTCAAACTAACCCATAGCTGGTCCGCACTGGTTGTACCCGTCCCCTTCATATCCAGGATCACACGTGCAGCGACCGTCATGACAACGTCCGTGTGCGGCACACTGTATACCTTGGCATGGATCTGAAATTAGTAGAGAGTGCAACTGATAAGCCATTGAAAAATATTTTTCGATTGCTAGTTTGAATTATACCACCATCATACTGGTCGGTCCGCTTGAAATCGATAGAACCAAAAATTCCTTTTTTCCCCATTATTTTCTATTTTTGTCGGTCACTTGTCCTCAACTTCGACTTCTCACTATTTTACGTTAGCAAATCAAACTGTTTACACTATCCTTGATCTCATCGGTTTTCAAACCATCTAACTAGTGTATAAGACATTTACTTGATTCTGCTCTTCTTCATCTTCAACAAATCAGATGTCTTAAATCCATTATTAGATCCTGTTAGTCTCCCCCCCCCAACACCTGCAACATTTGACCATATTGCTATAGCAAGGGTAACCTGTGTTTAGTATCCTAGGGGTTACCAATCCTCAATAGTTCCTTCATATTAGTTTCTTTTTATAAAGTCTGCACCAGTTGTCGTTTTAGGTTCAAAAATTGATCAAATCTGGGGTCTCACATAAATAGAACAAGGGCCTCACACTCAATAATTTATTCTTTTTCAATTATGTCTATCCAAACTCAGTCTAAGTCCCCTTAGGATATGTTTTCGACCTTTTTGAAAGAATGATTTTGGGTTATTGTCGTGCCGACTGCTGATTAACAGCTGTGCTTCTGTGGAACCTTTTCGAAATAATTGTTTTTTAAAAGGTCTGAGACATAATGATTGTAACAAAAATCGACTTTTTCTGCCTTTTATTGGGCATTCGATTGTACAAGTAATTTTCAAAAAGGGAGGAGAATACAGTCGTTTAGTCGCTGTCTGAGACACATAAGAGTAATGTTAAAAGTCGGGCAGAATTGGGCGTGCGAGAAGTAAATAGATAAAATCATTTCAGGTTTCACCCACACTTTACACACTGATTTCACTACCCACCAATCGCGGTTACCTATAAGATAATGACTCGGTTAGATCTTATTTTGCAACAGTTTCATATTAGGTGATTATTCTGATAGAAAGTTTCTTCAAAAGTTCACTGTTTTACTTATTTCATGTATTAATTTTTATCAAACTGAGTTGATATGTGCATGCGTTCACTCTACACCGTTTCCCATTAAGCTTTAGCCAAAACCCGCAATCCTTTGGCCAAAACCCGAAATGCTTTAGCCAGAACCCACATTCCTTTGGCCTTGACCTACATTCCTTTAATCAAAACCCACAATGCTTCAGCCGCGACCCGCAGTCCTTTAGTCTCGTCGCCCAACCTTTGGTCACACCGCTGTAGGCGAGTCAGAACAAAAACTATCAGTGTATTCTGAGGTCAACGAATGTTGAAAAAATTTATATTTTACAAATTTTCATATTGCAAAGCTTGACTAATAAATGAGAAGGTGTGACGATCGTATGCCGCACAGTTGACTGTAGTAACGGTATCAAATGCCGCACCACATAGTGATTGGAGTAGGTTTAGACGATGTGCCCGTATCGACAAACCATTTGGTACA